AGCTGCCAGGTCTGGGAGCCAAATCATAGTTAGCCATGTAGGAGTTCAGTGTTGTAACCACTATGTCACCCACTGGCTCCTCTCTCTAGACTTAATGGAAGTGTTAAGCATGACTATCATAACTATTATGTTTTCCAGTAAATCAAAAATACGTTAAAAAAACAAAAACAAACAAATGAGAGCTTTGTAAGTGAAAGTATCTGCGTGCTAAAAATTCAGATTCAACTATTTTACACACAAGCAAGTTTAGGTATAATACAAATTCACCAATTATTTGATAGACACTTGTCTCAACAAGTTTCATATTGCATGTATGTATTTATTATTATAACCATTACTCACCATATAAAACTAGGTAACAGAGGAAATGTCCAAAATATTACAAGTAGCCAAGTCTGACTTTGGAATGAATTTAAAGCAGGCTAAAGTCAAGAACTTTCTAAAACGTATAAATCACCAAATCACTGATTTTATCATGTCTTCACTTTTAAACATCTCCTTCCAATTTTGTTTTTGTTTTTGTCAGGCTCTGCACTCCTTCTGCCTGATTCTAAGGGCAACATGGCCCACCAGCAGTTATCCACTTCCACCCATAGTCATTATCAACACCCCACCACTCACCAGCACTTGAAGCCAAAGACCTCTGCATCTTGCCCTCTCTCTGTTTCAAGTGTCAGCAACTCCAGGCTCCAGGCCTGTTCACCTGCTCCCGAGAAGGCTCCTGCAACCTTTCTCTGGCTTCTGCTTTGATGGGGAATGTAGCTGTCTCCACCACTCTACTGCTCTGAGTAAGCTTTCTCCAGCTCCCTCACTTCCCTCTGGACAGAGAATTGCTTTCTTCATGCCAGGGAAAAGTAGTAAAGGACCCTGTGTTACAACCACATCGAATTTTATTTCATTTCTCTCCATCAGAAATGAGAAGATGAAGGCAAGACCATGCTTTCTGAATTCTCTTAGTCTCAGCAAAACGTAATTGCTACGTTCTTTTCCTAATCTCAGGAGACTTCTGTCAGCAACCTACTTACTGATGCTACTACTCCCTCTCTCCCCCGTCTTCCAACGGCTCTTTGAAGTTTGGCTTTGGTATGGAAGTTATTTGGCTTCAAATTGCTTAAGGGGCCTCATTAATGAGGTTGGTGACAGCCAAATCCTGCATGCCTCTTAAGAGATTTGTCATTTCCCCTGTCCCAAACATTTTAAAGCACTTGTGAATGGAATGGTAAAGTAGCGTGGCCATTATTTATTTGCATCTGCCATTGGAAAACATCTCTTCAATGCAAAATACCCTCAAAATATAAGGGTCACCTGTTCACGGCTGGTCCCTATGCTCTCTCCTCTTCCCACAACTGGGTTTCTTCAGCAACCACCAAATGATAAACAGTTCTTGGGACTTGTTCTTACTTAGTCATTAAAGATGTAGATAAAATGAATGTTCCAAGCATGAAGTGTTTCTTTTTAATTTTTTTTCAATATTATTTATTACTTTTTTTTAAAAAATTTGCTACAGGACATGTGCACTCACCAGAGAGACAGAAAAAGAGAGACAGAGGGAAAGTGAGAAATCAAGCATTCAGGTCCAAGACTCAAACTGCAGTCAGCCATGTGGAAGCCTAGCACCACACCACCTGCTGGCCTGGGCTCTAAGTGCTTAAAAGAGTAAGTGAATAAATATTCAGGGTTCCCATCTTCCAGAAAATTCCAATCCAGATATAACAAGAGCTTCAAAGTGATTATATATGGCATTTCTTCAAAATGAAATTCCTACTTAAATAGTGGTCAGGGAAGTCTTCTCAGAGGAAGTGACATTTACACTGAAGGAAAAGTCTAAGAGGAGGGGTGAACATTTAGGATAGCAGACACAGCATGGGAAGGTCCTGGGTGGGTCAAGAAAATCTACAAGGAGGCCAGTGGGGTGGGAGCCCACCGGTCAGAAGAAAGATGATGCTTGATGTCAAGAGGATGAGAACTTGCAGGGCCTTTTGATCAAAATGAGTTGAGAGTGCATGCTCAGTGTAGTGGGGAACCGTTGAAGGGTTCCACACAGGGGAGGCTGTGATATTTACTTAAGAGTAATTCTTGTGACTGGGTAGAGACTGGATTGGGATAAGAGGATGATGAGCAGAGTGGAAGTGCAGAGCCCACTGCCATTGTCCAAGGCAAGCTGACCAAGGCCTGGTGTAGGTATTGGGGAGGTGCAGAGAAGGGAGGTGGGCAAGGCATGGCGAGATTTGCTGGTAGATGAGAGGTGAGCAGCAGTAGGGTGGAGTCTTTGGTGCCTTCTGTTCTTTCTGATGCCATTGGGATGCAGCAGCAAGGAATCCTGGCACCAGTATGGCAGGGGGTGCTTTCTTGCCCATGAAGGATTGCAATTTAATAATAGATCTTTTGGCAACATCTCTTTTCTTCCCTCTGGCTATCTCATTATTCAATCCATATCCTAGTAGACAGAACCCTGTAGCTACATATTTACCCACCTAAAGCATAGACCATGAGATGCCTCTTGTCTCTGACAGTATCTGGGAGTGGTTAAGAGCATAGTGTCTAGAGATGGTTGGCCTGGCTCCAGTTCTGTTTCCCCTGACCAATGGTGTGATCTCGTCTGGTTGTTGAAGCTTGACTTCTTCAGCTGTAATGGGGTGAAGAGAACAGTACCTATCTTGCAGGGTTACTGGAGCATGTGGATAAGAGGATATCAGTAGGTGGGCTTGGGGAGATAATTAGGACATGAGGGCAGAGAATATTGTTTCTCAAAAGACTTGATCTTGTTATTGATTTCTAGCTTAATTGCATTATGTCAGAGGATGTACTCACTGCTTAGAAAATTTGTGACTTAAGTGGTAGAGTGGTTACATTGTTGGATTCCCGCATGGCTGACCGTGGTTCAAGTCCTAGACCCGGTAACTTGAAAATCATGCCAGATGTGTGTCCCTGTGTACCCAAATTCGCAGAAGGAGAATGGAGAAGAAGGGATTGCAACATGGCCATCTTCCTGGGGGGTGATTTTTCACTTTCCCTCTCACTGTGTCTGTTTCTCTCTCTAGCAAGTGCATGTGCCCTAAGGCAAAAACCTCTAAACAAAACAAAACAAACCCCAGAAATTTGTGACTTGTTTTATGACCCGGCATATACTAAATTCTGGTAAATATTTCATTGGAGTTTAAAAGGGCTGTGTGCTCTACAGTTGTTGGGTACAGCGTTCTATAAATGTACATCAACTTTGTTAAACATGTTTCTATACGTTTTATAATTTTTTTCTGTTAAGTTGTTCTATCAGGTTCTAAAAGATATTTTATAATATCCCATCATTACTGTAGATTGGTCTATTTTTCCTTTTAATCTTTCAATTTGTGCTTTATGTATTTTGAAACTATGTTGTCAAGTGTATACATATTTAGAATTACTGTACCTTCCTAGTGAATCAAACCTTTTACCATTATGAAGTATTCTTCATATTCAGTAATATCATTTGTCTTTAAGTCTACTTTGTTAAAATTAACACCTTATGTCAGCTATTTTTGTTAGTGTGTGATTTCTTTTTCACTTTTTTTAAAAAAGGTTTATTTACTTTCTGAGAGGGAGTGAAAGAGAGAGAGAGAAACCTGTGAGATGGTTCTGTGCTACAGTCCTCCCCTGCCCAGTCTTCCAGGCAGCCGGGATCACAAGGACACAGACACACTGAGAGTGTTCTGGCCGACCTGGGGTCTCAAAAAATAATAGTTTAGTCTGGGGTTGGGGACTAGCAGGTGGCATGGTGATCAAGGCAGCTGGATCCCACATAGCTGACTCTGCAGTTCAAGACCTGGTCCTACCGGTTTGAAAAACATGCCAAGCCTGCATGCCGAAAATCTCCAAAGGAGGGAGAAGTGGAGGGGCAGGATCATACCCCATATGGAGCTGCTTTCTCCCTTTCCCTCTCTGTCTCTCTGGTGAGTGTACAACCCTCTGGCAGTTGTTTTCTTTCTTTTTAAATTTAGTCCGATCATCATTATAGGAATATTTTGCTCATTCATATTTAATGTGGTTTCTATGTATGCTGACTCAACATGGTGATAATATGAAGAGGGATTGCACAAAGTGTAAGACTCTAGATAGAGCCCAAAGGACCAGGATACTGAACCTTTAACAATCAGCTCTTGAAACCAAGTGTGGACCCGTGCAAGTGGACTGAAGCACATCACAGGTTAGGAGCGATATGAGGCATCATGTAGGCTCACCCAGGGTGAAGGGTGCCAGGAAACCGAGGGCAAGCCCCCCTCCCATATTCTGGGCGCAGTTTTGGGTGCTTGAGGAGGAGGGTACCATAACCAAAACCAATGCCCTGCCTCTAAGAGTTCCCCTTCACTGCTGTGTGTGTGTGTGTGTATAAAAGCAATGTCTGTCAGGAGGTAAGTAACCAGAGTTATGGCTACATATTCTGAAAAGAAAAGGACTGGGGCACTATCATGCCCTGTGAGGGTATCAGGTGGTACTACGTGTTGAAATGCAGGAAAGTAATGATGGAAAGTTCTGGACTCTTGATAAACACAGAGGAAGGCTGCAGCACAGCCTCTGCGCAGATCTCGACCATCCTGCAGGCTAGGGAACACCTGGCTTTCCTTCTCCAGACCTGCCCACGCACCGGCACCCGTGCAAAGTCCACGCAGGGATCGAAGTCTCCGCGGGTCGGAGCAGGGTCAGCTGGACCAATCACAGGCCGCGGGGCGGGGCCGGCCCGTTACCGCCCCTCCTCCTGCCGGAAACCGGCGGAATAGGCGCATGCGCAAAGACGCCAGTGCCACCTCCAGCGGCACGTATGGCGGTTTGCGCATGTGCAAGAGAGAAGCATGGTTATAGATTTTTTTTTTCTTTCTTTTTTTTTTTTTTTTTTTTTTGTCCTTAGGCCGTGCCGTACCGTCCAGGCGGCCAGTTGCATTCTGGTCGCTCGTGCACCCCGCGCGTGGAGGCCGTTACCCGTGTCGCCGCCGGGCTTGCCACGGCCATGGGGCTGGGGGGGGGGGGGGCGGCTGGTGGCGCCGGCGTACGTGCGGCAGGGCTGTGAGGCTCGCCGCTCGCACGAGCACCTCATCCGGCTGCTGCTGGAGAAGGTACCGACTGCCGGCCCCTGCCCGTCCGCGGCCGCCGTCGCCCGAGCCCGCACGCCCAGCCCGCGGAACCCCGGGGGCGTCCTTGGGGCCGCGGGGGTCGGGCGTTTGAGACCCGCATTTCCTAGGCAGCGTCTCAGTGGCTTCACATAGGCGTGTGCAGAAAGGGCCACGTTTGCACCTGTGGCTCTGGCCGCCCCCACGAGCTCCAGCGACACGCGATGTTTGCAAAGCTCGAGCGAGACCTCGTCCCTGCAGGGGTTCCCGCATTTTGATTTCTCTTAAGTTTGACAATCCCTAGTTGTTTTGATCTTCAGTTACTTGCTGAAATATAAAAATCTGATGAAAGTTCGTACGCCTTTATTATCATCATTTCCTGGAAATCCTTGTCCCATGTGACACTAACGTTTTGCCGATTCCAGATTTCTTCCTAGTGCTGGCTTTATATCTGAATGTTAAAAAGCAAGGGCCATGGCACAATTTACACATGAACAAGTTTTAATTCACGGATGCAGGGCTCTAGAGAACCGTGGTTTTCTTAAATAAAACGATAAGCTGTAGTTAATTAACTCTGTTTACTTATTTAAAGGGCAAGTGTCCAGAGGATGGTTGGGACGAAAGTACACTTGAGCTCTTTTTACATGAACTCGCCATCATGGATAGCAATAACTTCTTGGGCAATTGTGGTGTGGGAGAAAGAGAAGGCAGAGTGGCCTCTTCCTTAGTTGCCCGTCGTCATTACAGGTATGCTTGCTTATTTATGTATTTATTTTTAAAGTTTTACCCGAGCAGGTGACTTAAATACAGGGTAGATTCCTAGCTCTGTTCTGGATGGTTAACAATGCACACCATACATTGTGTTAAGAATGTCTAGCCTGGGGGACTAGCAGGTGGCTTAACGATTACGTGGCTGGACTTGCACGCAGCTGATCGACCTGGGTTCCAATCCCAGACCCAGGCTTGAAACTCAGTCCGGGCACATGTGTGTGCCTAAAATCCCAGGAGGAGAAGGGATTGTGGCATGGCTATCCATCCTTCCCTCCCCCTGGGGAGGTTAATTTCTCACTTTCTGTCTTTCTGGCAAGCGCACACACCCTATAGTAAAATCTCAAAAGAAGAGAATGTCTAACCTGGGACCGGCAGATGGCATAACAGGTACGTCACTGGATTCTTGCATAGTCAACTATGGTTTGAGTCCCAGACCTGGTAAATGCACCCTGCATATTTTTAAGCCACCAGGTCCAGGACTTGACCCATGCAGTTGGCCATGCGGGATCCAGCCAACTTAACCACCATGCCACCTGGCTGGCCCCAAATCCCATTCATTTTATAAATACTTTTCTTTGTTGATATATATATATATATATCAGAAAAGTATGTTAGACTAAGTCACTTGTTTTCTTTTGCACTATTTTAGAAAGGTTTCCGTTACATCGTGTAACTATTTTATTAACAATGTTTCTAAATATGGTAATTTATTTCTCCGTCCTCCAACCTTACTGAGAAATATGTAAACTCTTTTAAAAATAACTCTTGCCTTTCAAGATTTTAAATCATATAACATTTCCTGGTATAGTAGAATCTTACTGATATGAAACCATAATAGTCGAAGCTAATCATAACAAATACAGAGCGTGGATGAAAATTTCAGGGCTAACAGTAGGCCGATGACAGGGTTGATAGTCTACGTGACACTTGCTTTGTACATAAGATTTCACCGGTAAGAAAATGCAGTGCTTGTGTTCTGTGATAATCCATGGCGTGACATTTCTCATGTATGTGGCTATAGATTACGAATTATTCAATCAAAAAGATTTTTAACTTAGAGACTATTCAGAGGTAGGTTTAAATAATGTATATCATCTAGTTTAAATTGAGTGAATTTTCCACTAGATTTTTCTTTTCCTTTTTTTGAAGGAGTTTTATTATAGGGTGCGTGTGCTCGCTGGAGAGACAGAGAGGGGAAGTGAGAAATCAGTCCCCGGTGGTGGGGAGTGGGGAGGTGGCCATGCTGTAATCTCTTCTCCATTCTCCTCTCGGGATTCTGAGCATGCGCGTACACGCACCCAGTGTGGGTTTCAAGGCACCGATTCTGAGACTCGAACCGTGGTTAGCCATGTGGGAGTCCAGTGCCTCAACCACCATGCCACCTACTGGCCCCTTGACACCTGTTTTTAAGGTACAACATATATTTATTTTAAAATTAGATCAGATCCTCGCTGGAACTCACCTCCCTGCTGTGATTAGGTGAAAAGGAAGTGAAATGGTGCATATATTCAAGTTATGTGTTCTTCCATAACAGATCACCCTAAAATGTAGCCAATTGAAAGAATTATTTTTTTAAAAATTATTTAATTTTATTTATCATTATTATTACTATTTTTAATTTGACCAGAGAGAGAGAGAGAGAAGGAGAGGGACAAACTGCCACATCTGGAACTCGAACTGTGGTTGGCCATGTGGGAATCCAGTGCCTTAACGACCCATGCTACCTGCTGGCCCCTTGAAACAATCACTTATCATTATGTTCTAGTTCTGTGGGTTAACCAGGCTCAGCAGGGTGAGTATTGCTTTGGGTCTTTTGTGCAGTTGCAGCCAGACATTGGCCAAGGGTTTAGTCATCTGAAGGTTCAGAAGGGCACTTTATTTAAGAGGACTTACTCAGATGCTGGGAGCTCACTTTGGCTTACATTCCTCCCAGCAGTGCACCTGGATTGTAAGAAAGGGCACCTGAAGAGCAAGCCCTTCGGGAAGCCTGGTAGAAGCTTTAAAGTTTTTTTATGAACTATCTCGAAAGTCCCAGGCAGTCACTTCTGCTAGATTCTTCCTGGCCAGGAAGTCACAAGGGCCAGCCCAGATTCAAGTGCAGAGAAATTAGACTCTGAGTCCTGCTTTGGAAGTGGCATGTGGGTACAAGGAAAAGAAAAATCAGTGTCCATCTTTAGAGACTGGCCACCACAGCAAAACTGATGGACTTGTTCAACTTAAATGGGCTATTTCCACATGATTAATAGTTTATGAAATATGTCCACAACAGCGAAGTGTTTGCTCTGGCATTTTTGGGGGCAGGTGTTACTGTATTTGTATACTTGTACATCAGGTACTTAGAACGCGGAATTGACTCGTCCCATCGTTGGCCCGTGTGTTGCTTAGGTTCATCCATGGAATTGGACGGTCGGGGGATATTTCTGCCGTGCAACCAAAGGCTGCGGGCTCCAGCCTTCTGAATAAAATTACCAATTCTTTGGTCCTGGACATCCTAAAGCTGGCTGGTATGTACTGAATTAGTCACAGTAGCTCTAGCTGCCCAGACACACACACCCTTCTGCTTAATTTCTTTCCTTTTTTTTTTTTTTGGAGAGGTTTTTGCTATAGGGCACGTGCACTCACCAGAAAGACAGAGAGACAGAGAGACAAAAAAGCAAGAAATCCCCCCCCAGGGGGGATGGCCACGCCACAATCCCTGCTCCTCCATTCTCCTCTTGGGATCCTGGGTGCACACGCACACGCGCCCAGCATGAGTTTAAGCCACTGGGTCTGGGACTCGAACAGTGGTCTACTACATGGGAGTCCAGCGATGTAGCCATTACACCAACTTCTGGTCCCCCTAATTTCTTTTTATTACTGCCTCTTTCCAAAAAGAATACAAGTGGTTTCTGAAAAGACATGCATAAAAAAGCCTTTTAGCAAGCAGAGACCAAGGCTTGGAGGATGAGTTTTGCAGTGAGCTTCCTGCGGATGCGTGAAGGAGAAGCAGCTCTGGACCACTCTTACTGTTCGTGGGAAGAAATGCATTATTTCTTCAGGAAGGGCGCTGGTGCTCTCACGGGACAGCTCATTTCTCTTCTGCTGCCTCCTCTGATTTGCAGGTGTCCGTACGGTGGCCAACTGCTTCGTGGTTCCTATGGCGACTGGCATGAGTCTAACCCTGTGTTTCTTAACGTTACGCCACAAGAGGCCAAAGGCAAAGTATATCATATGGCCACGAATAGACCAGAAGTCCTGCTTTAAGTCCATGGTCACTGCAGGTAAAAGAAGAGTTTCGTGTAGAATGCTTTGAAGGTCACAGTTGGAAGATTCCAATGATATGGAGATAGATAGATGAAAAGTCAACTAGATCTCTTCCCTGTTCCTTTTTTCATTTGTGCTAAAATGTGTATAACATCAAGATAAGTGTACCTGTTTGCGCACTTCGAGTTTTAAGTTTATGGATACCTAAATGTTTACCATAAAGATTGTGTAATTATTATTCGTGGGAGGTACTTTTGATTATATGCTAGCTGAGTGTACTATCTCAATAGAAAACGTGAAAAGAATCATATTTAAATTTTGGAAGGCCCTTGTAAGCTAGGAGATGGGTCATTGATCCTCAGGCCACAGAGGTGTTCATTTTAAATGATGGCTGTGATTTATTTCAGTACTTGAATTACATTATTATTTGTGTTCTGAAATAAAATATATTTGAAAATAAAACTGAAATATCACCCCAAAACGAGCAGACTTTTCTGTGGACTAAAATTGGACTAGATTAAGTGATTCTCATTGTCATCAGTTTCTGTTTCTGCTTCTTAGATATTCATTTAACATGTGCTTTCCTTTTCAGATTTTTTCTTTCTTTTTATCAAAGTGTGAAATAGATTTGTGATCCTGATTGGCTAGTCACATTTACTGACCTGCTTTTGATTGAGGCCTTTATTGGGTCTTTATTATTAGAGAAAGGCTCATTGACCAGAAAAGATATTTCGCATAGACTGGGATTACATCCGGGACCTCTGCTCTTGCAGCTCACACTGACCTTTCGATCTGGGTTGCCTTGGCTAGGTTTTGAGCCGGTGGTGATAGAGAACGTTTTGGAAGGTGATGAGCTGCGCACAGACCTGGACGCGGTGGAGGCGAAGATCCAGGAGCTGGGGCCGGACTGCGTCCTGTGTGTGCATTCGACGACGTCCTGCTTTGCTCCAAGGGTCCCCGATAGGTAACTGACTTAGGGGCATCGTCCTTCGGGCGCCCATCTGTCTTCTAAGTAAAACGTCGTATACTGACTCTCAAACAGGCTTACACGACATTTGGTAGTAAATAAGCAAATGGGTGTCCAAAAAGAATAGACGGACCTTGTGGAGGAAGAGCACAGTGGCTTGAGAAAATGAGCATTTCATACTCAGGGTGTTCAACAAGCCTGGGACGAGGTGAGGTCCCTCCATCACCTGAGTAGAGGCACGCTGTCTCCGTTTTCTTCTTCTTCGTCTTATTTCTGCCTGTTTAGTATCTTTTTCTCTCATTTAATGGAGGTCTCTTTTCTAAGCTAAATGTTGGATTTACTCATTTTCACTGCTCTATCTACTTCTTTGGTCTTACGTTTTCAGTCATAAGAACTATCAATATTAACAGATTGTAAATTGAAATTTTTTTCGCTTGCCTTCGAATATTAAAAATGTTAACTTAGCAGTGCATTTAGATGCACACAGAGACTCTGCATTCTGAGACTAAAGCAAGTATTTAATAAAATAGAGGCAGAAAGAAAAAAAATATAGTTAAAAAGTGTTTTTCTTTTGAGAGGTTTTTGCAATAGGATGTGTGCACTCACCAGAAAGTCGGAGAGAGACAAAGAGACAGAAAGCGAGAGATCACTCCCCAGGGGGAATGGCCACACCACAATCCCTTCTCCTCCATTCTCCTCTCGGAATCTTGGGCACGCATGCGCATGTGCCTGACGTGAGTTTAAGCCACCGGGTCCGGGACTCGAACTGCGGTCGACTACATGAGAGTCCAGCGACACAGCCAGCCTTGCAGTGCTCTCTTGCGTCACCATGGCCTGTGTTGCATAAATGCATGTTTCTCCTAAGTGCCATTTCAGGGAGACGGTAATGCAGTTAGTAATATGTTCCTATTTCTCATGTTATTAAATTTATTTACTTATTTACAGACTTGTTTATTGAATTTTATTTATTATTGATTATTATTGTTATTTTAAAAATTTGGCCAGGGAGAGAGAGAGAAAGAGATAGTAAGACAGCAAGCTGCCAGGTCCAGGACTCGAACTGTGGTTGGCCACATGGGCATCCAGCGCCTCAACCATCTGCCAGCCCCATGTTATTAAATTTAAAAACCACATTTTTTTTAACATCAAGCTTAATTCTTTTTATAGTCTTAATTTTGGTATACTATATGTTTTCTTTGTATTCATTGACTAATTGGACTGAGTATTGTGCGGGAAATTTACGTAAAGGAAATGTTTTTAAAAGGAGGCTGTTGTTGCAAGACCAGCAGTTAGCGTGATGGCTATGTTGCTGGACTCCCATGTAGTCAGCCACGGTTCGAGTCCCAGACCCGGTGGCTTAAA